TAGCACTCCGGCAAGGTTCATACCGAGGTCGCCTTTTTCTTATACAGGCCGGAAAACCGGTCGGGCGTCCCTCACATCAAAAACAAAGTTTCTAGCCAAAAAGACCGACTGTGATCAAGAACCTACAACCCCTCAAGCCTGCGCTACTCAAAACCAACAATGTGGCCAAGAATGCAATCATCCAGCAATTTCCCCCCCTGCCGAACAGCCCTGCCACTCGTGCGGCACGGGTCCGTATCCACAGCCCTCTATCTGCAGGCGCAGACCCCACGAAACCCACCCACCTCATCGTGACTCATGGCAGATCGCACCTCCACACACATGCTCCATTACCAAAAGGCACCGACTTCCACCATGATGGTCCTTTTGCAAACCCGCAGATGTACCCTACCACCCGTGCCACAGGGGCCAAAGACCACGCGAAACCCTCCCTCCTCCTCGCGATTTTGGGTACTCCACTACCCCAATCTGCTAGGCCCCCTGACGGAACTTCACCGCCCTCCATGAGGAAGTCCCGGCGGGGCTGTGCTCACCAACTTGCCTCTAAAGGTCAGATGAAAGCAAGACCCAAATGAAATGCACAAGGACAAAGGCACAACAGCAAGTACCACCAAACCAGCAGAAACATCTCTCCTCCTGCACAACGATGATTTGCGACATAAGAAATCCTAAGTAAGCGCTAGTCGGAACCAGCAGAAACAAAACCCAAAAAACCAACCAACCCCACTGGAGAGGATGCATCACCAAACAAGAACAAACCAAAATTAGAAGTACAGAAATCGTCAGTCGGTCGACCTACAACAAAACCACCGAGCACTGAACCCAGCTAAAATACTTCGCCTAAAGCAGAATCTCTCTCTCTCTCAGAAGTACAGAAATCGTCAGTCGGTCGACCTACAACAAAACCACCAAGCACTGAACCCAGCTAAAATACTTCGCCTAAAGCAGAATCTCTCTCTCTCTCTCTCTCTCTCTCTCTCTCTCTCTCTCTCTCTCTCTCTCTCTCTCTCTCTCTCTCTCTCTCGGTTGTATGGTCTTCATTGCGGTCAGATTCAGGGCAGAAAAACAAAAACGAAACATACAAACACCCTCTCTCTCTCTCTCTCTCTCTCTCTCTCTCTCTCTCTCTCTCTCTCTCTCTGTGGCATACTGTGCAGCCACACGGGCCCTGCAGGGCCCGTCCCGGACCTCCAGCCTGTTTCCCTATAGGGAAACTTCCAGGCTCTTGCCTGGAAGCTTCCTTCTGACAGGGCCTACAGGCCCCAGCCTGTTTCCCTACAGGGAAACTTCCAGGCTCTTGCCTGGAAGCTTCCTT